AAAGTCAGACGGAGAAAATGATGGAGCCAATGGAATACTCTGACTTCCAATCCTGGACTCTTCCCCTAACTCTTTATATGAAGGTGTTTTATTCTATTTATTTATTTCTTTATTTATTTATTTATTTAATCTATCTATCTATCTATTATTTTTATAGACCACAGATTAGTTTATTTTTAACACCCATCATGCCATGAATTCATAGAGAATAGGTTCCAGTAGCTCAGGCTCCTTTCAATTGGTTCTCACAAAGTGTGCTTCTCTGGGTGGAGCAGGCTGGTGCTTTAGTTGAACCCAGGTACCTTTCTCTTTGGCTTCTTTCTTTTTCTGGTCATTTTCCTTCATACGGTTTAGGATGCTATCTCTGCTCTTAGAATGCTTAGTGTGCTCAATACGCACAGTAATTCTCTTGACAAGAATCTTGCCCTTAACTTGTTTGTTCACAGCAATGCCAACAGCATGCTGGGTAACACTGTAGACCCTTCCAGTTTTGCCATGGTAACATTTGTGGGGCATTCCTTTTTGAACAGTACCCATTCCCTTAATGTCTACAATATCACGTTTCTTGTCGATTTGCATATATGTTGCCAGAGGACCCACTCCATGTTTTCTAAAAGGCCGAGAGAACATATATCGGGTGCCTCTCCTCTTTCTCTTTGTGTTCGTCATTTTGGTTAATTACTGGAAGATGGCGGTTTCGGCCAAAAAGAAGACATTTTTTTTAATTAAAAAATTATTTTATTTAACTTTTAATTAATTAATTAATTTAAGTTCGACTAGAGAGGGACAGAGTAAAAGGGAGAGAGAGAAGGTGAGAAAGTAAGTTGCCAGTTCTGGGACTTGAACCATGATCAGCTATATGGGAGTCCAGCAGCGCCCTTAACCTCCACGCCACCTGCCAGCCCCAAAGGTGTTTTATTGTTATTATTATTTTTTTATTTCATTGTATGGTGCATGTGCTGGAGAGAGAGAGGGGGAGAGAGAGAGCGAAAGTGAGAAATTCCCCCCTGGGGGGTTAGCCACACCCTAATCCCTTCTCCTCCAGTGTCCTCTCAGGATTTTGAGCATGCATACACACACACTGGCATGTTTTTCAAGTCTTGGGTCTAGGACTTGAACCACAGACTAGGCCATGAGAAATCCAGCTGCCTTGACTACCATGCCCCCAATTGGCCCACAGATGGGGATTTTAATGCCAGGAACACTCCCTTAATAGCCAACGAAACATTTTTCCTTTTTAGTTTTTTTAAGGAATTATTTTTATTTGACTTTATTTATTTATTTTAATTTGATTTTCGAGAGACAGAGTGTGAGAGAGAGACAGAGAGAGTGAAAGAGAGAAAGCAAGCCACCAGGTCTGGGACTCGAACCTTGGTGGGCCATGTGGGAGTCCAGCACCCTTAATCACCATGCAACCTGCCGGCCTCTCCTTTAGTTTTGCTGTATGATGCATGCGCTAACTGGAGAGAGACTGAGAGAGAGAGAGGACAGAGAGAGAGTGAGAAACCACCTTCCAGAGGAGTTGGTTGTGCCACAACCCTCTCTCCTCCATTCTCCTCTGGAGACCTTGTGCACACGCACACATGCCCAGTGTGATTCTCAGGCCATCAGGTCTGGGACTCAAACTGTGCAGTTAGCCATGTGGGACCCAGCTGCTCTAAACTCCATGCCACTGCTGGCCCCCAACAGAATATGTATTTGAGACCCAGAATTTGTGACAATTTTATTGCAGAATATGAATACTGAGTTAAAAACAAGTCTGAGTGTATTCCAAACACCCACCGTTGATGTTTGTTAGTACATGCGGGCAGTGTGGATAGTCCCATCAAAACCCCAGAAAAATATCCTAATTTAGTGACGTCCCCTATGTAATTTACTCCGTGTACGTAAAAGTATTCAAGGTACAAAATGCCACTAGGATCTTGACTGAAGGAAACATTAAGCCCTTATCAAACATTTACACTATAGCTAGAATTTGTTTCTCAGATTTGTTTGTCCCTAAAGGGATAGGATAAGTTTTGATGACTGATTCCTTATCAAGGAAACGGAAGCATGAAGACAGAAAGGAGTACAGCAAAGGGGCAGGTTCCTCGGAACCAGACCTCATCTATTTCCCGGTTTTCCTGAGGCTGAGCCCTGACTCTAATGCCACGCTGGGGCTCGTTGGAAAGTCATATCCTTTACTCAGGTGTTAACTAGCACGTGAGATGGCAGAAGAGATGAGACCTGTTCATGTTCTGTTATTTATCCATCTGTGGCGAGGAGTTGGCGGTATATAATCCCGTGATTAACCTCATAATAAGAAAGTAAAATCAAGACGGAAAAGTATCAGCTACTTGAAAAAATACTTTGTGTCCCACATGTGGCTTTTTTATAAAAATTTCTTTAGTATTTATTTATTTACTTTTAGTTATTATTATTCTTCAATTTGAAGAGAGAAAGAGAGAAAACTTACAAACCCGGGACTTGAACCATAGTTGGCCATGTGGGAATCCAACGCCTTAACCACCATACCACCTGTGGGCCCCTCCACATGAGGCTTTTTAAAAATAAGACTTTGAGAAATGTCCTTGCTCCCAATCCGTTTTGTGGGCCTTCAAAAACAAGAAGATAGGCTTACTGGTCTCTACAAACCAACACCCACTTGGAAATTCAGATTTAAAAACTTCTCTGAATCAGCACAGAGTCACACAGTTTGTAGGAAGCTTCCCCCTCCTCCCTGCTGTTGAACATCTGCTCCGGGTACTCTGCTCTAAAGTCGGGGAGTCCTAGAGTGGATTCAGCTGGAGGGCATGTGGCCTTTGCTGTGTTTCCCTTCAGCAAGAAACCGGGCCACAGGCTGGGAACCCCCACTCAGAAAACCTCCCTTTTGTCTCGTGCACCCATGGCTTCCCGGGACTCACTGCAGACTGGGAGTCAGTTCATGTTGCAGTTTGTCACCCTCCAAGTTGCTCGAAGGCTTTAGGTTGTGCTGCAGCTGGCTGCTGCCGAGATCCTGTGAGTCATGGTGGAGCCCCTCTGGCTTTAGCAAAGACTCACGTGTCCTCCCTTCCCCCTCCCATCCCCGCAGGTGAGAAACCCCACAAGTGCCAGGTGTGCGGCAAGGCATTCAGCCAGAGCTCCAACCTCATCACCCACAGCCGCAAGCACACAGGCTTCAAGCCCTTCGGCTGTGACCTGTGCGGGAAGGGCTTCCAGAGGAAAGTGGACCTGCGGAGGCACCGCGAGACGCAGCACGGGCTCAAATGAGCGCGCAGGCTGGCTGCAGGCAGCGGCCACACAACACTACACGGGGCAGCCTCCCAATCGCCACCACTTCTCTGACTTCTTAGGCCCCCCAGGACAGACTGCAGAGCCCACCAGGGTACCGCCTTCCCTGTACTTCCTGCAGCTGCCAGAGGAGTGAGCCACCTTTTCAAAATTCAACCCAGAGTGGGAACCAGCAAATCTGTGGGCTTTGGACACAAAGGGACTCCTCCATACCTGAAGATGCAAGGCCAGGTGGCAGTCAGATAAAATCGTGAATCCCACAGTCCTTCCCATTCCCAGCCCTGCTCCACAGACGGGCAAGTCCTTCAGGTGTCTTCCTCTGACCTACCCCAGCTACTCCTAGGAAGAGGAGAATCACCATCACCATCCCAAGGTGGACATCTGCAAATGTCTTTATTTACAAAGAAGGGTGGGGTTGATTTTGTTTTATAACTTCAGGGGTTTGTTAACCCCTTCTGTTGGGTGCTGCCAGTAAATCTTAGAGGAATCATTTTTCCTTCTCTAAGACTGGTTCAGAAACTGATTTGGGGAAGGAATTGAGCTAGCTCCTGAAAGGAGAGAAGAAAACTGGTGATGAGAGGGGGTTAGCAGGAGACCAGGAAGGCTTCACTGGACGAGGTAAGAGCCCAGCGCTATGATGCCTGTGGACAGGATGGCATTCATTCTCTCAGCAAATGCTTTTAGACCACTGGTTACCAAGGTACCAGGCACCATACTAGGAAAATCTCAGCCCCTCCCCTCCCCCTCTGAAGCTAATGGTGGCATCTTCAAGTGGCTTGGTCTGTTCTTTCCCTTGAGGGAACTCAGAAAACCACATAGAAACTTGAACCTTTCCTTTTGACCCGTTTGGATTTTATCAAGCATAAACAAAAAGTAGCTGAACAGTCACTTCAAAGATTTATGTGTATATTCGGGTTTTATTGTTAAGATGATCTTGTTTAACTGTCTGAGCTGGCAGGTACCTGGGGGAGAAGACTCTCTTTACCTCTTTGCCCCTCCGTGTGTACCATAGGGAAAAAAAAAAGTGGTATTTTTCTTTGAGGCTTGTAAATGTTTTAGATCTTCTGAAGTGCATTATGTTTGTTAATACATATTTATTAGAATGATGCTTTAAATTAATAAAGTAATAAGACTATTACAGATTGCCTTTCATTTAGGAAGGGAATTTGTGAAAGACCTTTGCGTGTGTGTGTGTGTTTAAGAATTATTTTATTTTAACTTTATTTATTTATTTAAATTTGACCAGAGAGAGACAGAGCGAGGGTGGGGGGAAGTGAGAAAGCAAGCCGTCAGGTCTGGGATTCGAACCAGGTCAACCATGTGGGAGTCCAGTGCCCTTAACCACCATGCCACCTGCCGGCCCCTGAAAGACCTTTGTTTTAATCTGTGGGAGAAGCTAGCACTGAAGACAGCTGTAGTGGAGAATAAATTAAACCAGATGAGCCAACACCCAGAAAAGAGTAAAATTTAATAGTTCTGGTTTCCAGATACTCTTTTCTTTTACATTTTGGAAATACTTCTTTCTTACCAGAATAACTAGAAGGTATACAAAACTAAGCACCTGTGTTATAGGTCTTATAGTCCACAGGTACCTAATCTCTTTCCTCTGAGAAATTCAAAATATTTTCTTATAGACCAGAAGGTTCCCAGATGAACAAAGAAATTACAGGCCTTAGGTCTAGAGATTTGAGTCTTAGCGATGGCTGTATCACTGACGTGTCATGTGACTAGGCCAATCCTTTGATTTCCCGTTACTGGTTTCCTTGGTGGTTCTATCATCCCAGGCCAATCCTACCTCGATTCTGTAGAGACAGGAGAGGAGAACCAGCGTGAGATTGCTTGGCTGCCTCACCTAAGGCAGGTTGAGGACACACGAGGAGCAGCAGGATTGGGATCTGAGTTATTCCTGGCTCTGTACCACTTGTGGGGATTTCTTGCGTAAATCAATCCTTTAAGAGAACAAAACCAGAATAAGGTCCTGGCCTCAATCCCTACTACCAGTGCTCTGTTAGACCACACATCCGGGTGTGCATAACCCATGGTGATTGCCAGCAGGTTGCCTGTTTCCATTCGAATCAATTTCTTGCATATTGATGGAGCAACAGAATGTACCTGCCATTGGCCTAGACTGTGGGGAGATAGCAGTGAGCAATGTCCTGTGGAGCTTTATTTATTTGGTCATTATTGACCCTTTAGCTCCCAGACAGTGCCTGGCACACAGTAGGAGATCAAAATGTATTTGCTGAGATGTTAAGTGAATAGACAGAGAAAACAAACTCTTGCTTCATCCTGTGGGTTAACTCTGCTCTCTATAGCACAAAGGGAAGAGACATAGCAGGGGAGCCTCAGAAACAAATATTAGTATACATTAAGTTGTACAGAACTTTCTCTCTGAGTTGGTCAGGCAGATAGTTTGTGACTGTTTTTCTCCTCTTCCCTCCAAATCTCAGTCCTTGGCTTTCCTCACTTGATTTCCAGCACCATGTCATTCCATGTCAGTTTACTGTCATCCAAAATTTAAATTTGCTGGGCTGGCCCTGTAGCACAGCAGGTTAGTGCTGCAATGAGGAAGCTAAAGATCTCACATGGCCAACCAGGGCTCAAGTCCCGGGCCCTGATGGATTCACATAGAGCAAGCAGGTGAGTGCCTAGAATTCTGACATAGTGGAAAATTAGGGGTAGAGAATTAGAAGAAAAGGCATTGCAGGATGAACAGGCCCTGTTGGAGAGTGGTTTTTTTTTTTTGTTTTTTTTGGGTTTTTTTGCTTTGTTTTTTTTCCTCTCTCTATCTTATGCATGCCACACATCCTCTGGCATTAAAAACAGTGTCAAATTTGTTTACTCTGTAATGCAGTTTTAAGTAGTTTTTCAGACTTGATGGGTGATGAACAGTTGCAGCATTCAGGAACCACTTCCTAGCGTCCTGGGAGACAAAGCTGCCCCTTGAGTACAGATGACGATGGAATGTCCTCCCCACAGGAGGCACTGTGCAGGCTGGTTGGTTATTTCCAACCTGACTGAGAAGTAAAGAAGTTGCACTGAGGGGTAAGTAGAACTGATTGAAATTGAGGTGTCTGTCCCGTTCAGCTCTCTCTTTATGACATTAAAAACATTTGATCCATTTTCATTGTCCTTGATTGTGCTATAAATGAGGAGTTGTCATTTTGATGTTACCTGCGTATGCCTTTTTAAAAAAGCAAAACTAAACTAAAACACTATCTTGACACCCCTAGTTCAGAATCAAAACAAATTACTACGCCTGTTACCGTGTGAAATTTGAAGATTGCAAATATCTCTCTTAATGTTATTACTTGACTCCATTAAAAATAGATTGTGAATATTCCATGTCACATTATTCATGAGGCAGGCTCTAGGCCTATTGTCTGCTGCAGTAACCGTAGAAAGGGTAACAAGAGACACCAGCGCTCACCTTTGTTTCTTTCACTGAATTTTTAATAACCCCTCCAGCTAGCCAGTTGGTGAAGCTCAGCTCTTGCATAAAAGTGGAAAAGCACAGCTATCTCCGAGAAGACCAACTCTTTCAGTAGCTAATTTGAGTTTGCGTTCATCTACACCAGACAGGATTAAATTACCTATCGAGTGTGCCCAGCTATCAGGATTCAGGCCACGTAAAAGGTGAATTTCATCTGATTGTTTTGAGACTCGAATGGAACAATCAAATTTTAAACGCCCCGCCTTAATTAAAGGGACAGTAAAAGTATCACTCCCAGCAACTTGACTGCCTTTGCCCTTGAAAACTGGGTGGCAATAGTGATTTGACCCAAGTCATTTTGCTTGTGCCTGTCTGTTCACCCCGATCATTTAACGGAAGGAACTGAAGTCAGAGAAAGACCTAAAAGGACTTCATTTCTTTTTGCTGTGCATTTGTAGGGTACTGTTGTTTAAATCTGTGTTGCTGTATTATTTCTACAGTAAAAACTTTCAGAAAGCACATAAGACATGTTTTAAAACAATTCTTTTACTCAAGTCAGATTTTAAAAATTAAACAAACTTAAAGAAAGTTCATGCCAAGCCCTCCTAGCTTAAAAGTTTATATCCATTTTTAAAATGTTCTTTTCCAGTCTCTTCCGTGTATATATTTATGTATTTTTTTTACCCTCTCATCAGGATATTTATAAAATCTAGGTAACTCTTTTATTTTTTACTTATCATATGGACACATACTGAAACTGAAATATATTTAACAATGAGAATTTAGACAATTTTTATGATTAAATGTCATCACATTCTTAACATCTAATTTGGATATGAGCAATTGTTTAGATGACAATTCTTCTGATGTTATTTACTTTTTAAAATAATTATTTATTTTTATTAATTATTATTATTATTTTAATTTTTTATAAGGCACATGTGCACAAAAGAAAGAAACAGAGAGAGAGAGAGAAAGTGAAACAGCAAACCATCAGGTCTGGGATTCAAACTATGGTTGGCCATGTGGGAGTCCAGTTCTTAACTGCCATGCAACCTGATGGCCCTAATACATATTTTTTGAATAAAGCATTTTAATGGTACTGGAAATTACGGAGAATAATCAGCATCAGTGTAACCTCTATTCTGCCATACTTACTTCAGATTTTGTTTTTGAAATAAAATGTTTCAAATATGGTTGAATATCTTCTAGAGTATGTTCTTCACGAACACCATTCTCTTTCCTTTCTCCTCAGAGACATTCACTATACCAAACTAGGCACCTATCATTGCTGTAATTTTTTTTCCCCATAGAGTGCATGCACCCACCAGAGAGAGACAGAAAGAAGGAAAGTTAGAGATCACCACCGAAGGGGCGTGATTTTCAAGCTGCTGGGTCCAGGACTCGAACCACGGCCAATCGTGTGGGAGTTCAGTGCCTTAACCACTATGCCACCTGTTGGCCCCTCAATTTGTTCTTCAATTATATTCTGAACACTCACTGTTTAAATGTATTGCACACATCTTCCAGTCTATAGCTTGCCTTTTTACTCTGAAGAGAGGATTCGTTTGTTTTGTTTTTGTGTTAATGCAGTCAAATATATCTTTTCTTCAATGGTTTTTGCTTTTTATTATATGTGTGTGTGGGTGTGTGTGGTGTGTATGTGTGTGTGTGTGTGTGTGTGTGTGTGTGTGTGTTGTCAGAGGGCAGATGTACTCTGTCACCAGAGAGTGAGAGAGAGAAAGTGTCCCTCTATGGGTGTGGTCACACCTCAGTCCCTTCTTCATTTCTCCATCCTGTTGGCATTTGGGTAACCATACACACACACCCAGTGTGTTTTTCAAGCCATTGGGGCTGGGATTTGAACTGCACAGTTGGCCATGCGGGATTTGTCTCCTTTAAATACTAGGCCATGGGGCTGGCCCCAATTTTTATTTCTTTTTTTAAAAATGTATTTAAAAAAAATTTATTTTGCCAGAGGGACACAAGGGGAGAAGAGCAAGTGAGAAAGCCCCGGGTCTTGGACTCCAACCACACAATTGAGTCAAGCCTCCTTAATCACATTGCCTGGCTGGCCAATGATTTTTATATCTTAGGAACCCTGGGCTGGGCCAGCTGGTGGGCCGTGGTTAAGGTGCTTGGATCCCACATGACTGATTGCTTGGTTTGAGTCCTGGATCCAGTGACTTGAAAAACACACTGGGCATGTGTGTGTGAGTCCCAGAATTGTGAAGGGAGAAATGGAGAAGGGATTGTGGTGTAACCATCTCCACTGGGAGATGCTTTCTTACTTTCTCTTTCTCTCTCTCTCTGGTGAGCTCACGTGCCCTCTAGCAAAAAATAAAATAAAATAAACCCTGGACCAGTCTTGTGGTACAGGGATAACGCGCTGCACATTGGAGATGCTGGATCCCATGTGGTGACCACAGTGTCAGTGGCCAGGACCTCATGGGTTGGGGACTGGAGGAAGGGAATTGCAGCATGACCAGACCCTGTGAAAGGTGATCATCTCTCTTTCTCACTCTGTCTCACTCACACACTCACTGTATTGTGAATAAAGAAAAAAAAAAAAGTAAAAAGTACCACTTCCCTCTGGTGATGATAAGATTACTTTTTATATTTTCTTCCAAGAAAAGTTTTAAGTTGTTGCTTATGACTTTTTTTTTTTTTTGGAGAGGTTTTTGCTATAGGGCATGTGT